AATATTTATACATCCTATATAATATCTATAAAGTCTACAGTGTGTACTGTAGAAACCTGGGGATTTATTACCTATAAAATCTCATTTTAAATACCTATTACATACAAAATTTATCTATCACAGGAAAATGCAAGTTGCACATTTGCAGTTTTACCTGCGAACTTCTTATACTCACAGAGTAACTTTTCATCCACTAATGTGACTTCACCTACCTGCTTGACACCACAGGAAGCATCTCCTTAATGGTTGAACCATTTTCCAGGCAGGAATATCACAGCCAGTCAATAGTCTTGGGGAAATAGCTGCTGGCGTGGCCAGGGGCTGATTCCATGATGGAAGCTGTGAGGAGAGACACAATGATCCTGTTTATTGCTGCTTTTAGGCTGGGAAAATGGATTACAACATGCAAGCCAGTGTGAGCAGCAGCTAAACCACATTCTGAAGGGCTACTTGGAGCAGCTGAAGGAAGAGGAACAGAGAAGGATTCAGAGTAAGAAAAAGGAAAAATAAAATGTGTGACTGTTTTATGAATAAAGTATTAATTCCTTGTCTATAAAAATTATCAGAGCTATTGCAAATCTAGTATTTATTTAACTTGGGACATTTTTGTTGTATCTCATGCACTGACACTTCTGTTTGACCTTGTGTTTACCTGACTGAAAATGAATAAAGTTACTTTATGTGCTTGGTAATTGCAAATAAAGTGACTTTATCTGCTTGATAACTGAGAGCCTTTTATGCTTACAAAGTAGCTAATTGTATCACAGAATCATTAAGCTTGGAAAAGACCTCTGAGATCATCAAGTCCAACCTATGACCTAACACCACCATGTCAACAAGACCTAAGTGCTACATCCAGTCTCTCCTTAAACACCACATTAGTGGTGCTTGATTATCCTTCTGACTAAATAACATCAGATTTCAGAACAATTGTGGCATCTTGCCTAGTTAGAGGTAGGTCACATCCAGGAAGGAACTTGGCTAAAACAATTCCCCAGCTCCAGGGAAAACCTTAGAGCACCTTCCAGTGCCTTAAGGGGCTTCAAGTAAGCTGCAGAGAGATTTGGACAAGGAGTGCCACGAGACCTCAGAGCAGCTTCCAGGATCTGAAGGGGCTCCAGGGAAGCTGCAGAGGGACTCTGTGTTAGGAGCTGCAGGGACAGGACAAGAGGCAATGGGGAAAAACTGAAAGAGGGAAATTTAGTTTAAATATGAGAAAGTTTTTGCTGTGAGGGTGGTGAGACCACAGGTTGCGTTGCCCAGGGAGGCTGTGGCTGCCCCAACCCTGGCAGTGTTCAAAGCCAGGTTGGATGACGCCTTGAGCAACCTGCTCTGGTGGGAGGTGTCCCTGCCCAGGGGGTTGGGACTAGATGATTCCTAAGGTCCATTCCAACCCCTAAAATTCTATGCTTCAATCACAAGGGGGAATGGATTCAAACTGGAGCAGAGCAGGTTTAGACTGGATATTTGGCAGCAGCTCCTCCCTGTGAGGCACTGGCACAGGTTGGCACTGTGGCTGCCCAATCCCAGGCAGCACCCAAGGCCAGGCTGGACGTGCTCTAGGACAAAGTCCCTGCAGGCAGGGGCCAAATCCGTGGGGAATTCCCCACATTCCCATTCCCGACGTTTCCCCCCAGCACCACGCGGTGGCGCCGCGAGCCGCAGCACCTCGAACAGTCCCTGCAGGTCCCTGCTGACACCTCTGGCCCCCCCCGTAAAATCTCAATCAACAAGCCATTAGAACTCGACGGGAGTAAAACTAAATCCTCGTTTAAGTGTATTTATCCGCTCTCCTTTCTCTCTTTCAAATGCTAAATCCATTTCAGCATATGCCCCTTCTTTCTCCAGCCTTTCTCTAAAGCCTGGCAGCCCCGCGCTGCTCTTGTAAATATGAAAGATGCTAATCATATGACATATCACGTCTCAGTCGGAGCCTGGAATAAAGCCTTGAGATTTGGGATCATTGCCTCCAGACAACAGCTTCATCAGCCGGAAAGTTGGGGTTTTTTTCTCCTTTCCTTCAACTCTCAATCCCTTCTTTGTCTGAAGGAAAATGCAGCCAACTCGAGCCACCCCGGCCATATGGTTCACTCTGTGTTTTCTTAGTTGAATCCTGAATTGTTTGTGACTTGCTAAGGGTTTTTTTCCCTTTTTGGAAGTGTGTATAAAGACATAGAAGAGGCTGCCCGGACTGGGGTGGCTCTGCAGGGTAACTCCATGTTCTTCACGTGTTCACTCAATTCACCACACTGACAAAAAGTATAAACTCACACCTACACTTTATATCCACAGCCTACTCCAGGTATCTGGTGGGTTTCCCCTTTTCTGGGCAAAAAAATATCCAGGTGTTTCTCCTTTTTCTGGATGGAAACAGCTATGGCTCATAACTTCACCACACAGGCAAAAAGGATAAACCCACAGCCACACTCTATATCCATAACCCATTCAGGTATTTTTCTCTTTTCTGGGCAAAAATATCCAGGTGTTTCTCCCTTTTCCATATGGAAATGCCTTCTTAAGACATCATTTGTTGTGCTTGTACTCACCTCTGTGAAACAGTTATGACTCATAACTTCACCACACAGTCAAAGAGTATAAACCCACAGCCACACTTTATAGCCATAACCCTTTCCAGGTACTCTTCCCTTTTCTGGTGCAAAAATATCCAGGTGTTTCTCTCTTTTCCATATGGAAATGCCTTCTTAAGACACCATTTGTTGTGTCTGGACTCACCTCTGTAAAACAGTTATTGCTCACTAGCAAATCCCTTCTAGAAATGCCTTGACTAAGAGAAGCTCCCAAGTATTTTGAGCAAGGAAAAGTGGCTTTTAAGACCTGTATAAATTAGGAGCTGAATGAGTGTGGCACACCCGAGTTTGGATAGCCCCCCTGTTTGATAGCCAGCCTGCCAAATTGTCTTTCTCTCTTTCCTCACACAACCCCCCCCAAAAAAGGCCCTTTCACCAAATCATTAAATTCTACAGAGGTGGTCAAGCTAGTCCTGCTTTTCAGGCGTTCCAGAAAGAAAAGGGTCCTTGAAGTTTAGAAGATGCCCAAGGAAAACTCATTGAATGACATCAAAAGAATGAGTTTCCATAGCTGTTGAAGCACGAGAGCCGTGTAGCTGCACAAAGGCGGGTTGGGGCAGTGGGACTGTCCCACTGCTCTATCCCAGCACAATTGGGTCACTGAAATAGGGAATTAATTACCATTGGAGAGTGGGCAGCCCATTCACCACTGGCTGAGTTTTATTAAACGCCAATATAAATAACAAAACAACTCTTGTGGCTGCACTATTCCTACATGCCAAAGGAAGGATTATGTCGGGGATTAACATCTTAAAGTCTATGAGACTTTCTGACTCAAGGCTCGGAGCTGGTAATCGTATTTGTCTCCTGGTTCAGCGATTAGTGCTCTCCCTCGCGCACCTTCGCCTGGATGGCCAATGTCCCTTTTTGCAGGCACTGGGGTTTTCACACAATCGGCTGTTCTTTTCCCCACAGCTAGAGAAAAGAATAAGAAAACTGAAGCGTGTTCACGCCATCCTCAAGCTTCTTCTCTTCTTCATGGGAAAGGAGGGCACCGGCGGCCTTTTTTCACAAGGGGGGGGAGGCAAAACCCTCGTGGGGGGGAGCCCCCAGGACGGCAAATCGCTCCACAGCCCCTGCACCTGCCATGCAAATCCGTCGGGAACAATCGGCTCCCGACGAGGGGCTCGTCCGCCTGGGGAGGGGGAGACAGGGAAGGATGCCGAGGCAGCGCTTAGGGAGGGATCCTCTCCTTGCCTTGCTCCCAAAACGAGCCGCAAATGTGCTAGTGCAGCTTGGGGCTGGTCCTCGTCCTGTCCCTCCCTGCAGCACTTGCACGGGGGATTCAGGAAGGACCTGGCTCAGAGAGTGGGGGATACGACTCAGACCTCAGCACCTCGGATTTCTCCCCTCCACAAAGTGCTCTGCTGGGTGGGGACTTATCCTGCAGAACTGTCACCCTCACAGGGTCGGTGGGTGCTGCCACAGGGCTGTGCATCCCAGGACTCGGGGTGTCCCGGTGTGGGCAGCCCTGGCGCTCCAAACCCTCTGGACACCCAGAGGGGACTCCTCTGCCTGCGGGAGGCAGAGCGGGGAGGGGTCAGGCCACCCTGTCCCACGGCTTTGTCCCCCTTTCCTCGGGACGTCGTGCCCCTGTTCACCTGGGGCAGGACAGCCATCAGCGCCTGCTCTCAACTTGTGAGGTCGACGTGTGGATGGGGCTGTGCCCAAAGGTCTCTCAGCAACACAGACCCTAAACTTTTAGGGCTATCGGGTCGCCTGAGAGTTCAATCTTCTTACAGCAAACAAAGCCTTTCTGAAGGTGCTTCCCCTCTCCCCCACACGAGCTCAGCGTCCTTTATTTCTCGGCTCTGTGATAAGCTTAAATCATTGTGCTCCCATTTCTTGATCGTCGCCTACTTCGAGCTTTTGTTCCCCTAAAGTAGGATTGAGTCTGGCAAAGGGGCTGAAGTTGAACAGTTTGACCCTTGGAGGACAGTTCAGGCTCTGGGCAGCAGCGGCAGCAGCATTACTGCTCCTGCTCCCTCTCCCCCTCCCTGCCGCTCTTGGCCGAGCAGCTCGGCCCTCGCTCTGCCCACAGACCACACAAGCACCGCGTGCTCAGCCCTGGGGAGAAAACCCCTCACAGTAGGAACTGAGCTGAACCCTAAAGAGGCACCACAGTGGGTTATGCACCTCCAGCACCACCTCTGTCTCACCTCTCCATCGCTTCCCATTGGCAACGGGGCCACAAACTAAGCTCAGCAACAACAGAGTTGGATGTGAGTTTGTGGTGCACTCAGTGAGGTTTCACCTCTTTCCCCTATATTGGGCTTTTTTTCCTACTTGTTACAAATAAAATCCGGTTCCAAAGCCCAACTCTCCCCCAGCGACAATGTTTCCACAAGGGGAGGACAGTGCACTGGGGTTTGGGTTTGTTACCTCCTCACTGTCATTTCTTTGACAAGAGCCTGGAGTGACAGGACAAGAGGGAATGGGGTTAGGGTGGCGTGCCCATCCCTGCCCCAGGTTGGATGGGGCTTGGAGCAACCTGGGCTAGTGCAAAGTGTCCTTGTTCCCAGCACGGGCATGGAATGACATGGTATTTAAGATCTCTTCCAACCCAAACCCCGTGGGTATCTGTAAGGCAGAGCCAGCCTGCCAACCCCACGGACACATCCCCACACTCTGCCATTCCCTGGGGCTTCCTGCCCCAGAGGGAGAGCTGGAAGAGAAGAACGGTACGAGCAATGAAGGTTTTCCTGACGGATTGACAAGTCACGATGCTATTTTTTAAAGTCCCCTCGAGCCCACGCGGTGTCCGGTCGTTCTAGCTGACAG